CCCCAAAACCCCAAAACCCCAAAACCCCGTTTAGAAAATTTAAAGAAAAGAAGTGAAATTATAAAAATTTAAATTTAAGTAGTAATAATCATAGTAAAATCATGGGAGCGGGTTGCTCGGGCACAAAAGCAACTGAAACCACCAATTCAGTTAACAAGATTACAATAAACTCGGCGGCGAAGGAACACCTTAAAACACTCAATCCTAATTCATAGCTTGGTAAGAATAAGCCATTGCGGTATCATAATATTATGAAATAGACAAGGATAAAGTTTAGAAACTTATGAAGAAAGATGAAGATCATGGCGATCGCGATCTACGAGATCTTGACAGTAGTTCCAGTGCCTCTATCAATCAGTACTTATTCACTTTGGAGATTATTGCTTGATCTTTACCCTTAATATAGGCGTAAGCATTAGAAGTTGTGGGACGCAGTTGAGACAAACGACATAAAGTAGGTTGAAACGATTCTTAACAAACTGGGCGATTCCAATTCACTTGAGGACTCAGATTTGTACGATTCCCTAGGAAACTCTATGGTCCACAAGGCGGCTTCAATGGGACACGCTGAGATACTCATGCTGCTGTTAGAAAGAACGGGCATCAAGCCAGATTTAGTAAACGCTCAACTGGCAACTCCATTGCATTTGGCTTGCAAAAATAATAGGGAAAGTGTAGCAAGGTTTCTGATAGGATGTGGAGTAGATGTTAACATGCAGGATGAGCATGGACAGACACCTTTACTGATATGCTGCATACATGGACACCAAGAAATGGCTTAGCTTATCGTTGATAGCAGTTAGGCAGGACATACTCCAGAGCCTCTTGAAGTAGATCTAAAGGATCACAGAGGACTTACTCCATTAAACTGTGCAGGAATTAAAGGTGATCTGAAATTAACAAAGCTGCTCATAGAAAAAGGAGGATCTAATATTGAAGAGTCATCACCCAAAGGCTGCACTCCTTTACTGTATGCTGCCAGAGGGGGATATCACGAAGTGGTGAGATACTTACTAGAAAGAGGCTCTTCACCCCTTAAGCAAGATACCAGTGGAGGAACAGTGCTGCATCACGCTATCGAGAAAGCCCATTTGGAAGTGTGGTAAGTCTTGATTGAGCACGGTATAGATGTATATTCAGCCATCGAGATTGCTGATAACGGTGGACGGACTCCTATATTTGAAGCCATTGACAACAACTGCTCAGCTGAGATGCTTAGATTTTTAACTAAAAAAAGAGGAAAGGGAGGATTTGGAGCAAGAGTCAATGTACTTAACTACAGCGGACAGACACCCTTATTTGGAGCAGTGAGAGAAGGCAACTTGGAAAACATCTAGGTTTTAGTTGAAGAGGCAGGGGCTAAAGTAGACTTGACTGGCGGCGAAGTTTAGAAGGACAATGACAATGACCATGAGCATCAGTAGGAAGAGGAGCAGTACGATTCACTGGAGGAGAAGTACTTCATGGAGGCTTATAAGAATGCGACCACTCCGCTGCATCTAGCAAGCATCCTTGGGCACGATAACATCATGCACTATTTAATTGAAAAGGGAGCCAACCCTAACTAGCAGACTAATATTAAGGGCTACACTTGCTTACACCTAGCAGTGCTCTCAAACAAACCAGAGATCATAATAGAGTTGCTGACCAAGACCAACGCTAATCCTCAGTTGCCTGACTATAGCGGTCGTACGCTGACTGATATGGTGGAGATATTCATTCCTGACTACTTAGAACCAATTAACACTCTGTTGGAGAATCTTCATATAGAAAGACTCAAGAATGCTCAAGGAGAGGCATCAGTTGTTGCAACACACTACTATAATCCAGATGATGAAAGGGAGATAAAGGGTGTTGCTGATCCTGAGTAGATTCAATAGTTCTATCAAAATAAACAAGAAGATGAAAGTCCTGAAAAGTTAAATGCAGATCTTGATTAGTAAATGACTGATAGAGGTGACGGCAAGGCTAACGCTTCAAAGAAGTTCATGGAGATGTAGGATTCAGAGATTGAGGTGGAAGAGGGAAGACCCTATGAGCGGGACATCGAGTCAATCTTTGGTAGAAAGATATCCCTAGGTCTAATTGCTTTGAACTGGAAGTTTAAGGAAACAGCTCTCAAGATTATTTACAAGCAGGCAGAGAAGTATCTGACAAAAGAAACCGACTCTGGAGTGAGTCTCAGTGACTTCGTCAAAGCCTGCACTATAGCCATAGATCTGACAAGCAAAGAGAAGGTCATCAAAGTTCTTAACATATCACTTCAGTTGCTTAATTTGCTGATTACCTCAGCTAAGTTGGAGCAGTCCAGTGCAATAGAGACGTTTAAGAAGACCTTTATTGACAGAATAATCGTACTCAAATTGCTCTAGAAGTCTGAGGAGGGCAACACCAGAATGACTAATAAGATTCATGAGTGTCTCCTAGATTTCAGTTTCCATCCTAAGATTGGTGAGGCTCACGTATCCTCCTTTATTCTTCAAAGGATTCAGGCTCACAATAAAGCCTCTAATATCAAATCATTATAAGAGGAAAACGGAACAGCACCTGAGAAAAAGATATAGACTCTTGGCGAAGCAGCTCTTGGATCTTATAAAGGCTTGCTAGCATAATTGGCTTTGCTTTACAAATTCGTGAATTCATTTGGAGTTAGTGTGAAAAAGAGAGGTCCATTGAATGTCAAGGACATTATCAACTCGATATTGCCATCACTCACTCATCAAAGTCAGGATGTCAGGAATGCCAGTACTAAGATTTTGTTGGATATTTAAAGACTCTCAGGCGCTGTTAAGGAAGATCACCTAATGACCATCAATGATAAAATCAAAGCTGCTCTTTTGGAAAAGATCACTCAGGTTGTAATTGAACCTAGCTAAAATCAAAACTAAAAAGAAGATGATGACCAGTCCATGCTTGAGTATTCATAAGATGAAAACGATCTAAACTCAACGTAGAAAATGGGTACTGCCACACTCGAGCAGATCAATGAGGCCTAAGAGAAGATGGTAGAGAAGGGACAGTCTAAGGATTGGTAGGAGAGAGATCTTGCGCTAAGGAGTATGAAGGAAGCCTTTGAGACTGGCACTAAAAAGACTTTGCTTTAAGAGGAGTTCCTGACGAATTGCACTGTACTGCTTAAGAGTTGTTTCGAGGAAAATAACATCTCACTATATCTCTCAGCAGTTGAAGTGGCTTAACTATTTTTCTAAAAGGCTATATTTAGTGACACAGTCATTGGCTCACTCACAAGTCTTTTGAAACCATTAGTTCTTAAAACTACTGATACCAACACCAGAGTTAGAAAGAAGTCTGTAGACTTGATATTCATGATATGGAACTTCTAGAATCTCTCTTAAAACACTGAAAGGAATGTGCTGACTAATAAGGCACCAGATCAAAGCAAAAGAGATCAGATAAGTTCTATGATTGCAGATGTTATTTGTGATTAAACTCTGCAAGAAAAAGCAATTATTGGTAGATTAGGTCTTTTCATTAAGAGAGGCTCAACCATTGAAACTGCAGAAGATCTAAGTAGTAAACCACATTAACTGATCTTAGGGAAGAACTACGAGCAGTTGATTGAGTTTGCATGTCAGTGGGTAACACACAAGAACACCAAGGTGAGACAGAACTCCCTTAAGCTCATCTTAGAAGTTTGTAGGATAAATTCAATTGATCCGAGAGGCTTGCCTTTCAAGTAGAGAGTCTTGAACTACATCCTTGGATTAAGACCATAGCTTAGAGATCCACTGGTTAAAAAGATAAATGAGATATGTACTTAAGAGGAGGGGGCTCAGCCATACATTGATGTAAATGAATTGGAGTTAAACGTAGCAACTAAGAATAGATCAGTAAGTATGGATGTTCACAACAAAAGAAAGCTACAAGATAACAACTCACCTGCTAAAGCTAATAATTTGCCAGATATTGGTGGAAAAGCTGGAATTGGATTACCCTAAGTTCAAAGTAATCAAGGAGTGTAACCCACTATTGTATTGCCACATGCAGAGCCATTGACTGATGAGTAAAAGTAAAAATAAGCTCACTTAATCTAACTCTTTGGCCCTGAAATAATTACTTGCTTCAATTCACAGTTTTGGTCTGCAAGACAAGCAGCTATTGAGAAAGTCAATGAGCAATTATTCAATCTTGATCCAAACAGAAGAGACGCTATGAGTGGAGAAATCAATAGAAAGAACTTCCCAATTGAAGAGAACTTTATGGTGTTCCTAGACTTCATAGAAGAAGGCTGCAAAGATCCAGTCCTTAAAAACTTCATCAGTGTTCTTGAACTCATGCAAAAAGCATTGCCTATATTCTTCAGATACCTCTAGCCAGCTTCAATTAAAAAGGAACTGATCCCACTTGTCTCAAATATCATTAAGAAAACAGCAGATCTCAAGGCAAAAGTTAGAGAAGCATCAATCAACTTCTGTTTATATCTTTCTCATCAGTCTCCAATCGGACCTGAGACTATGGTGACCTAGGTCTTGACTGAAATTGAGGCAGTACTAGATTAGAGCACTGGTAGCAATGTAGCAACTAGCCTTGGCAATTCTCATATGATATCATCTTGTCTTAAGCTTCTAAATACATTCCAGCAAGAAACCAAGATACTAGAAAAGCAAAAGACAAACTAGCCTCTATTTACAAGATTCCTGTCAGTCATAAACTCTAGTTTGAGGCATCAAAATCCACAGGTAAGGAAAGAGGGAGAAGCCTTGTTCAAGACACTTTATGCTGAGTTTGGAGATAAACTTGACTCACTCCTTGTCAATTAGAAGTCCTAAATATCAACTAAACTGTTGCAAGAGGCCAAGGTTGAAACTGGAGGTGCGGTGTAATAGTAACAATAGGAGTATAATCTGCAGAGAGCTCAAACATAAATAAGGACCGATGTTATCAATCATTCCTAATTAAACACAATATTGAGTGGCGTTTAAGAGCAAATTCAAAATTTGAAACTTCCAAATCCCAAAAAGAGACTAAAGGCAATTATTGAAATCAAGAAGGCAATTTAGAAGTAAGTAGTGAATGTTTCTCAAAAAACAGCAAGAGACATGTTTGAGCCACTGTCAATTCTTATGAGATAACTGCTTCAAGACGATAACCCAGAGATATATCTAGAGACTCTTAATATGCTTAAATTTGTTGTCAGCTCATTAGCCCCACATTTGTCTACACTAGACTTGCACCTCATGCTTGGCTCATTTATAAGTATCATAGTCAGTAATACTGTAAGCAGCAATATTAGAACTCAAATGGCAAGTGATAAGGTTATTATCTTCTTTGCTAAGCATAATAACATTGGACCATTCGTAGTAGCCAAAGATATCATTAAGAACATTGAGAAAGTTATCAAAGCCATCTAGGCACAGGTTAAGAAAGATGATCAAATAGCTTTACTCTAGGATAAGAAGCCAACTTTGCTAAGATTTCTCAGTATCCTCTAGTTGCTAATCTAGCATTTCTCCATAGTATTATGCTATCAAGCAGATTTCTATGACAAGTGCATTGAGTTAATAGCTGATACAATGATTATGTCAAGTGATGATTAATCTATCAAGAATCTTTGTGTGTAACTTATCGTATGCTTACAAGCCATTGACTATAAACTGCTTGATGCCTCAGTTGCTAAAATGGATGTAGCTAGAAAGACCCCTCTTAAAAAGACTTTAATTGAACTTGATAATTAATAGAGATAGGGCAAAAATGTGATTACTTAGGATCATCATGCGTTTGTCTCAATGGGAGGACCTGTGGATCAAACTCCAGGGCCAGACTTTGGAAAGACCAGAGGAAGTATTGTATCAACATCTCGAACCAGCTTATTTTCTCCAGGCAGTACTATGAGAGGTCAATCTCCAGGATTCAATTCAAGTTAGCATGAGTGGTCAAAAAAGAGTATTGAAGTGCTTAACCAATAGATTAATGCAAATCCTTTTAAAAACAGTCAGCCTAGTGAGAGCAGAGCAATGAGAAGGATGATCTCAATGGACAATGACAGAGGCTCTTAAAGTGTAGTAGGACAAAGCATGCAAACTAAGTAGTTTAGAGATGCCACCAATTAGGGAGATGTTGTTTTACCTGATATTTCTAACCCAATGGTGAGCACTAACTATAACTAGAAATTCGGAGTACAATAAAGTCCTCTGGGTCACACAGGTATGCAAATAGCTCCTAAAATGTCCTTAACTTCAACTGGCGGTGCTGGCTTCAATAGTGGAGCTGCTGGTTATAATGCGGGAAGACCTTAGTTAAGAACAATATAGAATGAAAGTAGTATAGGTATGATGGGAGGTGCTGGCATCGGTGGCCCAATTAGACCTCCTCTGTATGTACCAACTAAAAGAGACAGTGGAAGAGTATCTAATCAATCAAGCTTGACTTCTTCAAATCAGCAATAGCCAACTGTAATAGATTAAGGCTTTAAACAATTTAAAACTGAGTTCAATAGTAATCTCTACTCTAATGCTCCAGTTTAAACTTTAACTCAGACGAATACTACTGCTAGTTATCAGAAGAAGCCAACAATAACATAAAATTCTATATTCAAAGCTTAGGCACCAACACTGTAATTCGAGGCAGGAGTCAAAAGATACTAAGAGGCATCAAAAGATTAGAATAAAGGACCACTTGGAGGATCTGATTTTTGATAGCTTACCAAAGTTGAAATAGGAACAAATTAAAGCTATTCTTATAAAAGAATTTAACTTCTCTTATAATTTATTAATAGTTATACATTTCAAGATTACATTGATATTAATTGAGAGTATTGTGGATTCATGGGGTTTTGGGGTTTTGGGGAGATCGGAAGAGCACACGT